ACGTCGGAGAGCGGCGAGTACTCGGTCCTAAGTTGATCGAGGAGACAGCAGATCAGATGAGGAGTGAGCGGGCGAGCTGTTCAGGACATTTATGATTATTGTATTTTATGTTGAACCACGCTATGTTTCCGCTAAAACTTTTCAGTACTTATTATCAGACTTTGCTCCGACATTAGTCGGATAAGACATTATGACCGTTTTTATGTATCAGTTTAAATTTTAACGGTTTTCAGAAAATCAAGTTTTTCACGGTAGCCCCCGAATCAGTTTTCGCAAAATAAGTATTTTATTTATTTATTCAGAAAATTGCGAAAAATCGCGTACTCTGATGTAATAGTAAGTCGGGGTGTTACATGCTGGGCATGGCTACGCATACGCACTACTAAGCGTGCGCGTGCTACTTGCGTGCCCGCGGTTACTGCCGGCTGTGCCATGCACACGCTATTCCAGCAGGCACTACGGTCGGCCTTTCGCCTGCCGTCCGTCGACTTCCTCCAGCAAACTTGACATGGCTGACTATAAAATGACTTGAAATGACTAAAATGTATAAAGTGCTTGGGACTTGCTAACTAGATTTTGAAATGGCTCAGAGAGGGCTTATGTAGCACCTTCGAGTATGTTTTGGCGTAAAATTTGGACCGAACAACTTGATTACGACATGATCTTCTACTATGAACTTAAATACATTAAAAGAGAGCGAATAGGAGTATACCCCTTGAATTGTTTGTGAAACGCACGATGACTTGCGTGCTTGCTCATTGAACTTGATGTATGCGTGCTTTTATGGATAAAGCTTTGGCACAAGTTCCTTCTCTTCTCTATACTCTCGAAATTTTTTATCTTTTTCTCTCTTATATAAGCTGACTTTGGCTCGGTTTTTGCATGAGAATTGCGTGACAAAACTCACGGCAATTGCTACTTTAAATAATTAAAATGGATGAGGGTGAAAATGATGTTAATTCCCCATTGGTCCACTTGCTTTTACCGTGTGCGTGCGTGGCATTTTCATTGCTTAGTCGCGGGCTGAGGTGGTGCACGCTCAGCTTAGTCATCGCTCGAGGTGGCGCACATGCACGTGCTTAGTCACCACTTGTAGGCTCGTGTAGTGCCATGTGGCCTAGCTACCTGGTGAGTCACTACCACAACTTGCACACCAACCTTATCTCATGGTAAATTTCTCACGGCACTTACATAGCATAAAGCTTGGATTAACTTAACATGATCATGGTATTAAACTAAGCACATGACGGACGGTGGTTTAAGATTTGTACACACACGCACACACGACATGTGTTGATCTTGACGATAGCACACGTACATGTGCGCGGCAATGCGCGGCGCACGCATGTACTAGGCTGAACCACTAGTAACGCACTAGTAATACTTAATATTTATACATAGAAAAATTCGATACATGATGTGAACTTAGTCTCGAACTTTACTTTGAGCATTCTTGATTTCGAACAATTAATCCCGAATAATAATGTCCGTTTATAATATAAACAGTTCAGAAATTAATTATTGAATGAACTTGGTTAATAAATAACCAAATAGATTTTCGACTTAAAGTCGAACTTAATGACTGAAAGCTGAAGAGGTCATTATTAACAAGAGAAAAATACATCGCTTTAATTAATAAGAACTGGGTTATTACAATCTACCCTCCTTAAAATATTTCCGTCCTCGGAAATATAAAACTGGCATATATACAGAAAATAAGAAAAGTATATACATCAAAACTCAAAGTCGGGAAAATGAGCGCTAATGTCTGATTCGCGCTCCCAAGTGGCATCGAACTCTCCGTGGCGATTCCATCTGATACGCACGAGGGGAATATCTCATCTACGGAGCCGTCGAAACTGTCGGTCCAAAACTGCTACCGGACGTTCCTTGTACGACAAATCTGGCTGAAGCTGGATATCAGTATGTTGGATAACATGATCGGGATTGCACACGTACTTCCAAAGCATGGATACATGAAAAACATTATCAACACTGGATAGCTCGGGAGGTAAAGCTAAACGATAAGCTACTTCGCCCACTCGCTCGAGAACTTTGAACGGGCCTATGAAACAGGGATGTAACTTCCCTCTCTTCTCGAATTGAATGATCCCGCAGAATGGTCAAACTCTATAAAAGGCTCGCTCTCTGACCTCAAACTGAATATCTCGTCTATGCTTGTCGGCCGATGACTCTGCCAAATCTGTGTTGTTTTAAGACTCTGTCTGATCAGCTCAACTTGCTCAACTGTGTCCTCGATCATCTTCGGACTGAGTACCTGACTTTCGCCGACATCTTCCCAATAAAGGGGCGAGCGGCATTTACGCCCGTAAAGTGCCTCAAAAGGAGCCATCTGGATCAATGTCTGATAACTGTTGTTATAGGCAAACTCAACTAACGGTAAAATCGACTCCCACTTATCACCTCTATCTAGAACCAACGCTCGGAGCATATCCTCAAGCGTCTGAATCATTTTCTCTGACTGACCGTCTGTCTCTGGATGGTAAGCCGAACTGAACTGCAACTGCGTGCCCATCGCCTCGTGTAAACTCTCCCAAAACCTGTTGGTAAATCTGGGATCTCGATCTGACACGATATGAACGGGCACTCCCTGGAGTCGAACGATTACACGGGTATATATCTCAGCCAACTTCTCCATCGACATGGTCATCGCTACAGGTAAGAAATGTGCGACTTTCGTCAATCTGTCCACTACCACCCAAATCGCGTCATGATGCTCGGACGACCTGGGCAGCCCTGTAACGAAATCCATCGTGACTTCCTCCCACTTCCACCTCAGAATCTCGAGTGCTTGTAGAAGGACTATCGGACTCTTGTGCTCGGCCTTGACTTGCTGGCAGACCAAACACTTCTTCACGAAACTAGAAACATCTTTCTTCATTCCCCACCACCAGAATGACCTTTTCAGGTCATGGTACATCTTGGTGCTGCCAGGGTGAGCTATATAAGGCGCGGTGTGTGCCTCGGTCAAGATGTCCTTCTGCAAAGCCTCGACTTTTGGCACTACGATCCTGTCTCTGAACTCCAAGGCTCCATCTGTGCCTGAAGAAAAACCCTCGACTCCTCCAGTGTGAACCCTGGCTTCGATAGCACGAATAAACAGATCAGAAGCCTGCTCTCACCGAATTCTGTCTCTCAACATGGGCCGAACTACATCAACCTGACGCTCCATGTAATATCTGCAGGAAGTGACTCGAAGACCTGAATCTGCATCCGGGCAAAGTCTCGAACAAGATGGCGCTGCTGAGTAATAGAACATGATAATTCACCCTTTACCTTTCGGCTCAGGGCATCAACTACAACATTTGCTTTTCCCAGATGGTACTGAATCGTGCAGTCATAGTCTTTAACGAGCTCCAACCAACATCGCTGACGCATGTTGAGCTCCTTCTGCGTGAAAATATACTGCAGACTCTTGTGATCGGTATAAATCTTGCATCGACCTTCGTAATGATAATGCTGCCATATCTTAAGTGCATGTACCACTGCAGCTAACTCCAGGTCGTGTGTAGGATAGTTCTGCTCATGAGGCTTCAACTGACGTGAAGCATACGCTACAACCTGGCCGTCATGCATAAGTACACATCCCAAACCGTGTCTCGAAGCATCACTATAGATGGTGAAACTCCGAGAAGGATCTGGAATAGTCAACATCGGTGTCGTCGTAAGCCTCTCTTTTAGCTCATGAAAGCTCGACACACAACGATCTGTCCATTCGAACTTCACAGACTTTCTCGTCAACTGGGACAAAGGGAGGACAATCTTTAAAAACCCCTCAATAAATCTGCGATAATAACCTGCAAGGCCGAGAAAACTACGAACCTCGGACGGATTCATTGGTGCTGACCAGTTCTGAACTACGGCAATCTTAGATGGATCAACCTCAATACCTACCTGAGTAATAATATGGCCAAGAAAAGCCACACACTGAAGCCAAAATTCGCATTTAGAGAACTTAGCATATAACTTTTCATCTCTAAGGGTCTAGAGAACGACCCTCAAATGCTCTTCGTGCTCCTTCTGGCTCTGGAAATAGATAAGAATATCGTCAATGAATAAAATAACGAATTGATCGAGAAAAGGATGGAATACACGGTTCATGAAGTCCATGAATACTGTTGGGGCATTATTGAGACCAAACAGCATAACCACGAACTCGTAATGACCGTATCTAGTTCAAAACGCTGTCTTGACGATGTCTGAATCCTTGATCTTCAGCTGATGGTAACCTGAACGTAAATCAATCTTAGAAAATACACAGACGCCCCTCAGTTGGTCGAACAAGTCGTCAATTCTGGGAAGCGGATATTTATTCTTGATCGTCAACTGGTTAAGATCTCGGTAGTCGATACACATACGCATAGAACCGTCCTTCTTCTTGACGAATAGAACGGGTGCTCCCCACGGTGAAACGCTCGGTAAAATAAAACCGAGATTTAGCAACTCCTGGATTTCAGTCTTTAGCTCCTGTAACTCCTTAGGTGCATTCTATACGGCGCTTTGGATACTGGTCTGGCTCCCAGAATAAGATCGATAGAAACTCCACCTGTCGGCTGGGTGATCCGCCTAGAAGCTGGTCTGGAAACACGTCCACAAACTCACGAACGATAGAAATGTCGTGAGGTGTCCGTGCTCTCAGTTCGTCTCCGACAAGGCTCAGTAGGTATCCCTGGCAATTACCTCGTCGTAAGATCTTTCTGGCTTTCGCCATAGAAATAATATGAGGCAGAGTACGAGTCCTGGAACCAAAGTAAGTGATCTGGTCGTCTCCCGGAAGATAAAGAGTAATCTCCCGGTCGTGACAACGGATGTCAGCATGAAAACATGTTAGCCAATCCATACCGAGAATGAGGTCAAAATCCCTAATCTCGATGACATAAGTGTCGGTAGTCAAGATACGGCCGTCGATAGAAAGGCTGAGACTCTCGGCTTTGGCATCAATCACTATCTTTCTTCCCGAGGCTAAACTCACCTCGAGAGGATCGACAACGCTGATAGAATGAACTCCAATGGCATCAAGACATCGGCGTGATATAAATGAATGAGTTGCTCCGGTGTCGAACAAGGCAAAAACAGGAACATCGTTAAGAATAATCATCCCAAAAATAGTACATGGGTGCTAGTCTGCTTCGAACTGATCGACGGCATAAACACGGGCCTGATGTCTTCCGCGCTGCTGCTGCTGCTGGGCTGTCTCGGTGGCTGCTGTCTGGGCTGCTGAGGTTGTTTTGAGGTTGCTGTGGTGGCTGTTGTTGCAGTCATTCTGGGAAGTTGGGACTGATATGTCTGGGCTTGCGGCAGTAAAAACAAATGTTCTAGCATACAAGACACTCCCCGTGGTGGCGTCGTCCGCAGGTAGTGCAAGATGGTATCGTCTTTGTTTGGGGCGGTTTGTCCGATCGTCTGGGCCTCCTTTAAACTTCCTATTTCCCTTGTTTCTTGGTTGTTGGGCGGCTACGGGCTATGCAGGTGGTTGGGCAACTGGCTTGGCTGGATTCGGAACAGCCTCCCTCCGAAAGCTGGCATCTACTTCTTGGGCTATAGTGATGGTGTGGGCGTAAGTCTGGACTCTGTGACCCACAATGTTATGACGGACTACTGGTAATAGTCCGTCTGTGAAACGTCTCGATCTCTTTGCCTCCCTACTCACCAGCTCGGGAACGAAGGCTCCAAGTTGAGTGAATTTTTGCTCGTACTCGTCCACTGTCCGAGTACCTTGCTTGAGTGCCAGAAATTGACGCTCCATTTCCGCTCAATAATAAGCGGGGTAGTACTTTTCACGAATCAACTCCTTGAAATTATCCCACATACAAGCTTTCTTTTCACCAGGACGCATTCCCCAGTAGGAATTCCACCAGAGACGCGCATCACCCGTCATGTGGATCTGTGCGCAAAGGACTTTATAACGGCCAGGACAGTCCATGACCTCGAAAATCATTTCAAGGCCCTGGACCCACTCATCAACGACTCGGGGATCTCCCTGGCCGGAAAATTTCTCTGGATGGTAGTCGCGAAACTGAGCGACTACGGTGGCCTAGGGGACCTCCTGATGATTTGGATCTCTACGAGGCGGCATCTGAATATTGAAAAGATCAATATAATTAGATACAAGAATATAACATGGCAAAATACTTTAACTGATTATTAATGCGCACAAATCTCTTGACGAGTTGCTAAAATTAACCCGAGAAATCTAGAGTCGAATTATCGAATAACTGGAATAATCTACTATATTCTGGAAAATACACCGTGACTTGACTCGAGCATCTTACTGGTTTCTAGGGTTAGATATCTGACACTTTCTACTGAGCATAGACTTAGACATTCGTTTAGATATATAAACTGGAAAATCAGCACTTACCTGGTAGTCGGCGAGACGTGAGCGTGGCGTGGTCGGGTTTTCTGAAAACTTTCTGACTTAATAAATTATTCAGATACACGAAAGCGTGATGTGATACCAATTGTAACACCCCGCTAGCTTATTAAAATCAGAGTCAATTTTTTGCAATTTCTTTTCTGATAATACGTATTAGTTTGCGAAATTGTGATTCGGGATGCTACTGAAAATCTTTCTTTTCTAAAATCCGTTACCTTTTCTGAATTAAAACTGTTAAGAAAAACGGATTATCTTAAACTAAACAAGAATTTAAAACTGTACAAAATCCAACTAGAAAATCGAGTCAAAACCTGAAAACAAACATGAAAGTTTAAAAACCTGAAAGTGTGAGCGGAAGTTCAAAACGTGGCAAAATAAATATATACATGTCCAAAAGTATGTAAAGTAGACATATAAACAAACCCACGACCATCAGCTCCACTCACTCCTCGGGACTGACTTTGTGACCTGAAAAAGATAATATAGTGGGGGCATGAGCACTAAAAGCCACTATGCTCCGCAAAAACTCATACTAAAGTAAACAACAATAATAATTGCAATATCATGATCAATAGTATATATAACTGGAATTGTCATGTCATGTCTGTGATCAACCGTATCTGATACGGGATCGAATACTGTATCTGCCGACTATAAGAGCTGCACCGGAATCCTATGTGCACACTTTAGTGGGCAAATTACACCACTAGAACTCAGATGGTCTTACTTTGTCTAGCCTCATTGAGAAGGAACTGAATATACATACCTTGAACATGATAACTGTAATTATACTCAATGTAATACTCAGTCTGAGTCCCCACCTGAACTGCTAGTCTGAAACTGTAAGTGTTGTTACCGATCAAACAGTAAAAATATATATATAAATAAATACTAAGTACTATGCTCAGACTGACTGAAAATAGCTGTTAAGATGCTCGACTCGATCTAAATAATTATCTGGAATAATCTCGGGGTTTAACTTGATTGACAAGAAAACTGGATTGAACTGATACTGGTATACTGAACAGACTGGACTGAAAAATTAACTGAAATACTGTACTGAACTCAGATTCGGTCACTGAGTCCTGAACTGCTCAAGTAACCGGGCTTAACCGGTCCGTTCACTGGTTGGCCGGAACGTCGGCTCACTGCAGCCGGGCGGTCGGCCGCTGGCTGGTCACCGGCACGGTC